AACAACGGAAGATGCTGAAAATTTACAACTTATAATATTCTAACATCTTAGAATAGCAATACTTCAGCTTGTTCCTACTCCTTGATTCTTGAGATGCATACATGAATACGTAAGCTTTAAGCTTAGTGAGTAGTAGTTATGGTTTCATGATAAAACATTCTTTCCAACTAATTAAAATAATTCTTATAAACTTTCATGTATAAAAACATTTCTTTGAGATCTCATAATTACATGTTAAGTAAATCAACTTCTCACAGGTTCTTTAACCTCGGGTCCACATAAGGGCTGCCCAATAAGGTCCGTTTGCAAGACGTACCTTCTTTCCATATCCCGTACGTTGGATAGATAAATGGTTGTACTTAACATATATAAAAACATTCATGCCTTGTGTTCATACATGTATTATAACATGCAAACACTTTCATGCCTTGGTGTAAAACACATACTTGTATCAAAACATGTCATCATGCATCTTTTGTATAACATTTTCACGTAAAGCAAACATGCCAAAATATCTTGTAATGCATAAAATACTTATATGTAGCATGTATGTACCTCCTNTTAGTCTTTATTATGCTTTAAGGTAGTATTACAATCTTGGGATGGAAAAGAATGAGCCCTTTAAGCTTTATTTATAGGGTGTAAGGTATGCTTTAAGGTACTTGTTCACTTAGCTTTTCAACTTGTAAGTTTCTAAGGATATGCCACATATGTACTTGTTCATTCTAGCCTTGCCTTGTAATGCTTTTAGGGTTGCCACAAACTCCTTTTGTCTTACAATTCATTCTCTATGCTTGCTTTGTCATAAGAATTTTTGTGGCTCATGTTGTTTGTTTTTAAGTAGCTTAGTAAGCTACTTATGTGCTTATTGGTAAGTAGCTTTGTAAGCTACTAGTATGCTTGCTTACTTATTTATTAATATTTTTTTTAATAATGTTATTTACTTTGTTTTAGTTCTTATATGAAGGGCCTTTAGAGACAACTTAACTTTATAAGAAATTATGATAAAGATATGTATATATCTATATATGTGGCTGAAAATTAGGGCTGTTACATGTTTTGCATTACATAAGTTATACAGCTTAAACTAGTTCACTGGTGACTATTACTGCCAAAAAATTTAGAGCCAATGAATTTTAACCGCGAAAGGACGGTTTGGAGGAGGCTCGGCGGAATGTAAGTCATGGAGGGGGTTGGGGAAACAGTCCCGGACTTTTGACAAGGAGCTCCGAATTAATACCAGAAAGGTCCACCCGGGGAAATCGGAGATATTAATTTTAACATTTACATGAGCATGAAAACATCTATGGTTCAAGAGTTCCATATGAGGCTATGATATGTTTCTTTAGTATACATGTTCAAATGAGTAAACTTCTAATCACTAAGCAGTCCAATTGCTTAAGTTTTAAAGTATGCATTGCAGATTAGTACCGAGGGCTTGAAGGGAGAATTGAATAGTTCAAGGGAGCTATAGCGGCACATGATATTTAGTTGAGTTTTAGTTTCGTTTGCAACTTTGCATTATATAGTTTCATCTCTAGAAGGTTTTTTAGTATGTGTGTTTAGTATGTCAGATTATATTTTGTAACTAGGATCCAGCGAAATGGTTTGGGATTAAATAAAAGTCTGTTTAGATTACAAATTGCTTCTGCTACTCTTTAAAATGTTTTGTCCATTCATATGTGCATGGTTATGATACATGGTTCATAACACTCTTCATGTGTATCGGTGTAGAGGCGGAATGTGGCATGTTACAGGAAAAGGGTATTCTTTGGCAGATTAGAAAAATTAAATGTTAAGATCTACTCACATGCAGACTGAACTGGAGCTATAAATATACGTAGATCAACTTCAAGGTTTGTCTCCTTTCTGTGCGGAAACTTGGTCACTTGGAGGAGTAAGAAACAACAGTAGTGGCAAGGAGTGTTGAAGTTCAGTACAGAGGGTTGGCATAGCAAATTTGTGAAGGGATATGGATAAAACAAGTTCTTAATGAGCTTGGTCAGCACCTTTTCACTCGGCTTGTATCCTGATGATGTGTGAGAATAAGGGGGTCTATTAACATAGCTAAAAATCTAGTTCTTAGCGGTGTATGTATATATATTTGTTTCATATGTGCCTCGAATATATAGAAGGATAAGTTTTCTTCACAAGCTAAAGTTGCACTTGTTATCTAGATTTCATCTTTCAAGTTTTGTCCTTTCAATTCATCTTTAAATGAAGTAAGATACAAAATCATTAACTAAAAAAGGACAAAACTTGAAAGATGAAATCTAGATAACAATTGAGCCCACAAATCTTAAAAAGAACTTATGAGGCTAAACAATATATTGAGGATAGAAATGTAGAATTCTAACACATGTACAAGCAAAACTTAAAAGACATTTTATTTTGGAAAAATATCTTGTTTAATTACAAACATCCAAAACCGATTTGGGTGTGAAGGAAGTATTATATAAGATTCAAGTGATGCTACTTTCATTTTATTTCAAACTTGTCCATTCTTTCTATTTTCGACATCCAACAACATCACTTACTTTTGGTATATCTTGCTAACATAGTTCCCTTACTACAAACGCCAACATTTCCTCCATCATACAACAGTTGTTACAACTCTTATTGTGCATACTACCTGTCATGTTTCTATTTTCTTACACTATATGAGAGTTTTGACAGCTATCGAAAAGCTATAGCCTTATATGCATTTCTTTGCCTTCCTATAGAAAGTGATAGACTTCATGTATCATGAATATCAATGAAGAGAGTCAACTCTACACACAAAGGGTGACCCTATTATCTAAAAGCACATATGAATAAATGCTGAAAATGAGAAACCATTATGCAAGTTACTGAAGATATTACAAAGAAACCCGATTGAGTTATGCATCTACAGTTGCGCCTACATATCTCGTATTTTAATCCTCAACTCTAGACCATCTTTTTTCTTGGTACCTTACAAAAATTATAGCATTGGGACTTCCACCAGAAAAAAGAAAAATGGTGAATGATCAAAACTTGAAGAGGAAGCTCAAAAATAAGAGATTGAGAACCGGGCAAGTTCGTTCTTCACATACTTGCATACAAAGAAAGTTTATTCATCCTTTTTTATTTCTATTTTTCCACTGTTTCTATTTTCTACAATCAACAACATCAACAAACTTTTGGTATATCTTGCTAACATAGTTACAGTTCTTCTCCATCATATAACAGTTCTTACAACTCTTATTGTGCATGTACTTCACAGTTTACATACTTCAGTTTTCTTATACCATGTAAGAGCTTTGACAGCTATTCAAAAGCTACAACCATATATGTATTTGTTTTGCCTTCCATAAAGAGTGATAGACTTAACCACAAGGGTTGTGGTGTAGTGGTTGAGGCCCTGGGGGATGTGGTGGAATACCCCATCTGTCCAGGGTTCTATTCCAGGTGTACACAGCAATTGTGGCCACTGAGTCTATCAGGGCTGATTTCTTGCACTCACGATTTGTCGGGATTAGTCTAGGCATTGCCTAGGACGCCCTTCCATAAAAAAGAGTGATAGACTTCACGTAGCATGAATATCAATGAAAAGAATCAACTCAACAGACAGAGGGTGACCCTATTATCTTAAAATGTGAATGAGTAAATGCTGAAAGTGAGTAATCAATATGTAAGTTACTGAAGATATTACAAAGAAACCTGATTGCAAATGACGATTATGCACATACAGTTGTGCCTACATATCTTGTATTTTAATCCTCAATTCTAGAGCATCTTTCTTCTTGATACCCTATCAAAATTATTACATTTAGACCTCCACCAAAAAAAGGGACTCATCAAAAATTGAAGGGAAGCTCTGAAATAAAAAATTAAGACCCAACAAGTTCATTCCTAAACTACTAGCAAACAGATATGAACTATATGCAAACTAAATAGAGCAACAGATGGTTGCCAATTCACATATAGAGAAAATCAAGTGAAAACCGCAAATATGTTGCAAACCTGCAAACTAGTTTTCAGGTGATGTTTCATATATGAAACAACATATGTGTAACGATTTATGAAACAATCACTCTTTTATGTGTGAAAAAAAAATGCAAATACGTGTACATGAAACGCACACACATTCACAAAGACAAGAATAAAGCATGTGATACAATATGAAGCATAGCTTAAAATTAAACGCATTGAATGGTTTGGATTGGTTTTCACGGGTTTGTAAGTTTTAACATAAATTCTGGTTTTTTATTTGATTCTCTCTCTCTATAGATAATATATATAGGGGTGGGTTCAAATGAGAACCATAAATATGTTCGGAATTGGGGAACCACCTATTCTATGTACAATTCAGAATTACCGTGAATATGGAAATTAATCATGATGAATGTGGTGATGGATATTCATAATGGAAATTATTCAAAATAAAATTCATGGTATCATGATAAAAATGCATGATATTATGATAAAATGCATGATATCATAATAATGAAAATGAATGATATTCATAATTATCATCATGAATGGTACATGAAGTAGTTGGTTCCCTGGTTCTCAACCTATTTATGGTTCTCAGTTGAAACCGCCCCATATATATATCACTGAGTCTATCATTGAAGAATTTATTGAGCAAGCACACCTTAACCAATTCTAACTCGTAGCTCTATACCCTTGCACCAAATGAAAAGCATGTGTATGTTCCTTAGAACTTAGACCTGTAAATGGTTGGTTTCACGGCCAGCTTGCCTGATCTACATCACAGAGGCTTTGGACAGGTGGTTCTTCAAATAAAAATGAACCAGAATAATTAAAAAAGAAGAATGACAGCTTGTTCATGGCTATGAATTTATAAAACTAGGAAAACCGTAAAATAGAAAAAGATGGTGACTAGGAAATACACAAATGAGTCAACAAATAGCAAAGACGGAATTGAAACAAGCAAGAACTTAAAATAATTGCACCTTAAGGCCCATGTATGGCAAATATCATATGAAAAATTGAAATGTGTAGAGAAAACAAACCTGTGAGTACCAAACTCAACCAAGAGACCAAATTCTTCACAAATAAAATGAGCAGAGGACTTGTCTATTATGGATCCATCCCCAGTAGATAAGCTTTGACTCCCCTTCAAGCTAGATAAACTATCACAACTAACATGCTGTTCACCCAGATGGATGACAATAGGCAAAATTTGCAACTTCAAATACATAGAGGGCTTGGAACCTGGATCTTTAGACATATCAAGCGCCATATCTTTAATCTCTAGAGTAGCTTTCGGTGTCTGCCACAAATATATATAAAAAATGACTAGAATAATTTAAAACAATAGATAGCATGCCTAGCATGAAATTAAACAAATAAATATGTCGAAAACTGATGGCAATATGACATACTATAATAGGACATTGAACCCAATCCCGGAAACCAACTAATCATTATAAGTACGGGTAAAGTTTCCACTTTAGATTCTTTTCCAACTTACCGCAGACATTAAGGATGTAGAAGTAACCTATCCACATTAACAAAGCCAAATATGGTTAAAAGTACAGGTGTCTTTTGATAATTACCATATGCTAGGGTCAAGAATGCTATTAACACATTTTGGGGCATAAGTAAATATTACACATCTAAATATTATCCAATGGCTTTAACACAAAAGTAGTATGAAATTATATGCTATGAAACTATATGTAGAAATAGAAATATTTTCTTATATTATTTGAATAACAAATGCCGTCTGTTTATACAAGACAAGACAAAATAAGGAAAATATATACAATCAATTTTTATCCTATAAGAAGGAAAGTGTATACAATCAAATCCTTCATAAAAAGATTTGATACAATTTTCCAGCTGTCAACACTCCCCCTCAAGCTTGACTATAGATGTTGATGAGTCCACGCTTGCATGAAAGAAAATCAGTACTCGTTCAGATAAATGTTACGAACCGAACAACAGGATGAAACAAATACTGTAATGGAAAGGTAAAGCTTGGCCAAATTGTATTCAGTTCAACCAAATGAATGGGAAACAGCGATAACGATAGTGATTGATTGGAACTGCTAGCAATTCGAGAGGCTAGTCTCTCCTATATGAAAAGGCTAATATTTTGGATACCATACTATGGCAACTATCCTATTATTTATACTAGCCAAAAAAGACTAATTCCCTACTATACCCCTCTCTAACCTCTCTAGAATCTATCAGGTACTTATGGGCCTGGGCTTGGGTTGATGCATAACATTACCCGGTCCCAAAGAACCACCTTGTCCTCAAGGTGGATAGATAGAATAAAGGAATAGGAGCCACCATGTTACATGTCCCTCGACAGCTGCCACTGAAGTCAAATCCTCCCAATTAAGCAACTTTTCCCCAGCATGGACGATGACTAACCTTTTCCGCACACCCTATCAAAGGAACTTCCCAGAGACTATGATAAGGGTCCTCGGTTGTTCTGTCATTATTTGCTGGTAAAATAACACCAACTACTATAAAGAAGGAACCCATTTGTTTTCAGATATAAGCTCCATTCTGTCCTTCTAAGCACACTCTGATCCAATCATAGAAATAAGCTTCTGCAGCATCATTTTTTGCTGCTGAGCCTCCACTGCAGCCACTGTTGATGCAACTTCCTTTTCCAATATTGCTATGTTGACTTCAATTCTTTCCATTTTGATTCATCTGCCTCAAGTCTTGTAAATAGTTCGTGATCTGTCCACTTTTGCTGATCGATTAGAAACTTTAATGACTTGCGCTTCAGCCTCTTGCTGCATTGTATCATAACATTGAGTAAGATGTCGAGTATCTGCGAGGGAAGCACCCATTGCAATTGCTCTTAATGGCTCTGCAACTTGTGTCCCAAATTCAGTAGTTTGCCTTGTGAAAGGTTGAAATATGCTCTTAATTGCATACTACCACTACATGTATTCTCTATACCATATTTTCTGCTAACTTTGACAAGGTAGTTCCTATTTCAACTTGTTTGAAACCAGCAACTATATATTCTTCAACCCCCAGGAATAATGTCTCCTTGAAAATGCTTGGCAGCACGTGTAGATGTGTTTAAAGCAAGGATGATCTGACCTCCACTGTGTCGCCTTCTCCACAAGTAATTTGATCAGAAATGATAGTATTTCAGCATTTGATACCTCATGTTCATGTGCCTAAGAATTTGGGAAATCGCTGTCAAGAGCAATTTTGAATGAATTCATAGTAGATTCTGCTGCCTCCTTTTGCTCATCCGCACCTCTAAACTTGGTCAAATACCTACGATAATCTCTTTTCATTTGCAAATAAAACACCCTTGGTTCACCGGTAGATGCGACGATTCCAAAATCTTCAGAATTCCCAAGCAAACATCGGAGAGCTTGTCAGGGTGTGTTCACAGATCATGGCAACACCAGTTATTCGGGTTTGAGAATCAACAGATGTATGAGGCTGATTATACACGATGCGAATCAGTTGTACATCTGCCAATGAATCCTGTATCTGCCCACCATTCCAAGTGGTAACAAGAATTGAATTTTTGTTGACTGCTTTGTAAAAAGAATTGTCAACTCACTCTTCACACTAGGCAATTTTCAACTCAAAACCTTCTTCCCTTCCATGGTAAACTTTATGAAGAGTCTCGTGCAATGGAACGGAAGCATCAAATAAACCACAAGAATGGGTTTTTAATGCAGGTTGATTCCCCCTTGACGAGCCAACTCAAGAAATGTAGCTTCTACCCACGAAATTAGAATCGCAATTATCTTTGGGTTACATATCTCCAATACAGACTCCCCTCTGTACAAACTCTCTAAACTAAAGTAACACTAGAACATAAGCTGTAAATTGCAGAATAATTAAACCTGACAAAAACCCTAAACCGATTCCAACAATGTTCACCACCAAAAAGAGAACATTCCAACGAATAAGCCATCAGAGGTTCCAAACTCTTTGAGTGTTGACTCGATGATCAAGAGAAGCATGTATAACATCCGGTAGATCGAGGTGAGAAGGCATGTCCAACAGCAGTTGAATGCTTCCAAGTTCCAATCAACTGGAAATAGGCTATTTTGGGCCGTCGTGTGAGCCATTGGTGGGCTGGGCTGGGCTGAACCGAGTAGTTCCTTGGTACATCCACTATTATGTTATGATTTAATACTTTGTTTTTTGTTTCTGGGATATTTTGTAACAATGCTACCTTTGAATATCCCTTTCACCATGTTTCTCTCAATACTCGAGATTGTAACTGATTCTTTCGAGATTTTAGCCAACAAAAAGGCATCATATCCTTGCCTTACTCTTACGGGTAAGTTTGTTTAGTTTTATGGTAAGGTAACCTAACTTGATAGACGCATGCCCGGATAAGAATTTGGTAGATGGCTCCTAAGAATCTGACAGTGTGAGTTTGGCAACTAGGGCAAAGGTCTTGATATAGTCAATTCTATAGGGTTTTCTGTAGCCCGTTTGCAACTAACAGAGCTTTATACGTCTCGATAGAACCATTAGCATTGTCCTTGAAAGTGAACACCCATTTGCATCCTACCACCCTATTATCATCAGCTGCTAATTCCACTAATTTTCAAGTTTCATTTTGTCTTGAGTGGGTTCTTTTTGTCTTCTAGAATAAACATGCAACTGCGGTTCTCAAACCATTCTGTCAGTTGTATCAACAAATGATACTTTATGGATAATTCCATTATAGGATAGATAAGGCTGAATTGCAATATGCAATGCCATTATTCCTTAGTAATATAGAAAGAAATGTTTGGTACTATGTTTGAATCATAAGGTGAAAGTTTTGGAAGACATAACAGGCTTTAGAGTTCTGCCAAAGTCGATAATCAGTAGTCGATTGGCTAACTAAGATCAAATTACACTTTAACGAGGGAACATAATGGACAGGTTTAAGAATTAGATCAACAGATAATCTAATTGTATCAATTCCAACAAAAGGACAACGTGTCATCAACAATTTTGACATTGAAGTTAATAGAACAGGGATTATATGAATCAAATATGAGATATAAACTTGTCGTATGATCGGAGGCACCTAAATCAATTATCCACAATGTTTTGAGAATGTTTGAGAGTAGAGGACAAATTACTAGAGTGTGCAAGTGAGCATGAGGCACTATGAGACTCAAAATTAGCTGCACAATTCATAGATGATGCATTCAAAATTGTATACACATGCTCAATTTGTTCCTTCCTAAATGAGGGTGAGGTAATATTTGTTGACCTACCAATGTTGCTACTTGCTTGAGTTTGGTAGGACTTTCTTTCAATGGGGCGTCACGAAGCCCAATTGGTTGGTTTCCATTAAGTTCCTAACAAGTTATTCAAGAGTGAGCATATTGTTCACAGTAATTGCACCATAGCTTTTCACCTTTGTGGTTGGTTCATAATCATGATTAGACCTATTTGAAAAGGAAACAGCAGGACCAGACTTGGAAGCAAGAGCAGAGATCTTTATTTTTACTGGTTGAGAACTTCAAGCCTATGAGGCAGTAAACATGACCAACAACATGCTTCTTCATGACAAACTTTAGAAAAGGCTTCTTCATGACAAACCTTGTATCTTAGGAAAGCTAAAGTCCATTGAAAAGCTTAAGACTTTTTTGTAATCCGCCATGCTTCAAAACACAATTGCGAGCTGAAGCACATGTCTCCAGGATTTATTATTGCATCTCTATTGTTGTCTTGTAATAGACTCATCTATCTCTGATTTTCCAAGTGTAATGAAAACTCGAAAATCAGTTTCTCCTACTTCTGATTAGGTATAATTTGGAATCTTTTTCATTATGGTCATCTGATATAAAAACTTTAGGCTGTAAAAGAGTCTACACTATATATATCAGTAGGAATTGAAGAACTGCTACATGAATGTTTCTGCCTAATTTTTGTGATATCAACCTTCGTTCAGTGTTGACATTAACAAATGAATTTGAGTGTACCAGAGGGTCATTAGCCTTGCGGTATCTCACCAAAGTTGAGGAGGGTGTATGAGTACTTTCTTCAAAAAATGAACTTATGTTAGCATCAAGATTAAAATGTTTATACTACTTGTATTGACCAAATTTACGACTGAAACTTGTGTTGGACGTGACTTTTTAATCATGAATTGTGATCCAAGAGACACCACAGGATTTTGTGATGTTGGTCGCCTTAAATAAAAAAAAAAAAAAGAAGGCATGCCTGGTGTCTAAACCAATGTTACATCCGTATGTCAATATGCATGCCATTGCCATCTATTCACAAAGTAATAAAATCAGGCCAGCATGTCAGACCAATCCATCAGACACTTTTAGGCACGCGGTCAGATCCCCGGGCTCCTCCCACTGCTTGGGAGCTTACGGTTTCATGTTCTATTTCACTCCCCATCAATATCTACTGGAGGAGCAACAATGAAGGCAATAATAAATACAGAAGTTGTGGTCAATAAGGTAGGGATCATCAAAACACCAAACCATCCAATGTAAAGACGGTTGGACAAATTAACGAGCCACTTTCCCCATATTAACAATTCCAGCAGGAAACAATTCAGGCCTTTTGGATGATTAACTTCCAACATGAAAGCTGAAATGGGTCATGTTTTTAGTTTGTTCTAGTGTCTAACTATTGAATAGACTAGAGTTACTCCTAATACATTGCATGYATAGAGAAGTAAATATTGACTGTTTGTGCAATATATATTCTATGTTCATGTTCCGGAGTACATCTATGAAATTAGCACCTAACATTCCTGTAGATGCTAGATATCACCCGAAGAATAGAACATCAAAGTTGAATAGTGGGTAAGTGACGGTTGCTCTGGTACCCCATCTACGTACAATCTTTTCTTGGTTAATTTGGTCYGAAGACATGGGAAGAAAAGAAAAAGCAATCCTAGAACCAGCAAACTTGATTTCTATTATGGTCCTTTGAGTCCAGATAGTATGGAAATTGYATCAAGGTGTATGCTATAAATAAACATTCCAGCTAATTTGATGAACTGCACAGTTAGTAAGAATGAAAAGAAAGAAAGTAGATGTGATAAAACATACGCACATTGCTGACAGAAATTTACCTTCACAACCAACCCTCTCACAGAAAGAGATAAGAATCTTGCSATGTTAGCCACAGCCATCAGTTTTCCTTTGCCCGACTTGCCTCCAGAACTCTTTGGTTTCCGTGGTTYGGTTCTTTTTGAACTTTTATCTGATGTCCTTGTAACAACTTCTAAGTCCCTTATCACCAACTGCAGTTTTGGATCCTTAGAAATACTACCAACCTCCAATCTAACCAAGGATTGYTGTAAGCAAAGTTTGATTTCACCAATCGAAAAAGATTCAATAGCACCCTGCAAATTTMCAATAGTAACATCAAGATGAACATGATTTGATGTCCATTAGAATACAGTATAATCCAAGTTTAATAATATCATGATACTTAAAATGTATGTTCAATTGGGTAGTTACCATACTTAATAATCCGTTGCTTAATATAAATCATTCTAAAATGTTACGTTCTTTCTGGATTATACTTATACATATGTTCATACAAGAACTTCAGATAACAAGCTGARTGAATCAGATAACGATGATAATTTCTACATTTAGATCATTCTCTTCATACCAAAGACAGAAGAAAACGATTTTGAAATCGGAAGTAATTATAGACCAAACAAAATGAAACGAACTTTAAGTAATAGAAAAAGAGAAGTACCCTTTCAAACTTGATCCTAAAATCCTTCAAACTTCTCCATCCGCTAAATCTAAATCCCACAGATGCTTTCAGGATCCGGCTCAAAACCAAAGCCACTAACCTGGAAGTAAATCTGAAAAACATGTATGGTAAATCTTTTGAAACTTGTATTGATAATGTATAAGGTTTCATGGTCATCTTGATGATGTAATTATGAGAATATATAATTCAAGACAAACCACTCTTTCATGACAAGTAATTAAGCATATGTTCAAATCAAAGTACCTACCCAATTGTTAACTCCAAGCATCTGCATTTTCTATACATCACAAGCTTTCCCTCAATTTGGAAAAGAATTGCATGCAGATATTCTATTCAACTATACCAAATGATTTTCACACCAAATGATTTTCACAGAACTAATTAGGTGTTTGTTCAAACACTGTCTCTTAACTAATCAGAATTGCAACAAAGTCTGAGTACTTTATTTATGAAAGAAATAAGACCTGGTATCAGATAGTTACTACTATGGAAAATAGATTTGAGAAATATACATGAACAAGACAAAAAAAATCTGCCATTTGTTTACCTTTTAATAGTTTCATTAAGAGGCAACATCTGAATCATTAAGAGGTGAAGCTTGTTTGGCAAAAAAAAACTCTTAATGGTTCTAAAATTCTCTGATTGATTTTGTATCATGGGTCTCCCTTAACCATTATGCGCCCTAATTTCATTGTAAACAATTACCAAACAATTATATTTCATTTTGCACTATATCGTGAAAGCCTCTTAATCATTTTGACCACTTAATCATTTTGCACAAAATCATTAAGCAACTGCCAAACAACTCAATATGTGGAAAACCCTGTTGGCATATAATCTTAGAATTATTTGGTAGACATTTTCTTATAAATAGAATGATTCAAAATCTTCTATTGATGTCTAATATATATTATGTAATTAGTGTGTCTCCTATAATAACTTCAGCCAATTTAAACTGCTTGTAACCTATTCTTTTGATGTACAAATAAACAAGAATTCTCATTATTTTTTTTATTTTTTTATTAACCTGGATATGCAACCCGCTATGCAAGCAGACTAATCCTAAGACGACCACCTGCTTTGCAGATAGTCTGGAGTCATCGCATTTGAACCTCCATGGCCACAAGGGGATTTTTATTTTTCCTTGGATTTGAACTTGGGACCTCCAGGTACTTTTGACCTTTGGAGCCAACCTTAAACCAACCCGGCACCACCCTTGTGGTTAAGAATTCTCATTATTCAACTCTCTC